GTAGACCAGGCTGGCTTCGAACTCACAGAGATCCGCCTGCCTCTGCCTCCCGAGGGCTGGGATTAAAGGCGTGCACCACCAACGCCCGGCCCTTTCCCTACTCTTATCAGTGGCCTTCCCACTCAGACCCCAGTGTTTGTGGCTGAACTGGAGCCCTTAAAGAGCCAGACACAGTTAGGGGCAAATGGGCTGTCAATGTCTCAACAGGGAACTTGAGGAAGGGGCTTCACTTTCCCCAGGTGACAATGAGCAGAGTTGGAAGGGGTGGAAACAGATCTTTAATGAAGGAAATATGCAGACACACACACACACACACACACACACACACACACACACACACACACACACATACACACACACACACACACACACACACACACAGTACAGGGGTTGGGGGACAGGCTGCAATGGGCAGGCACCTGGGGGCAGCAACCAAAAACACAGAGAAAGAGAAGAAGCTGGCTCTTGTGGCACCTGGAGAATGAGTCTCTTGGGGGAGCTGGGAGCAGCTGGCAGGCCCTGGGGTGCGCTGAGGGGGAGGGGAGAGCTGGCAGTTAGACACAGAATCTAAGCCTCCTTCCTTCTTCCTCCTTCCTGTGACCTACCCCCTCCCCCTCATGCAGGAGGGGCTAAAGCCAGAACCTGTTGCTTCACCCTAAACTCTTAAACCCTAATCCCAGGCAATGGCCCTGGCCTCATAACGCAAGACTCCCTGCTAGAGACAACTCCCTCATCAAGACTCCAGAGTTGATAAAAGTCATTTTCCACTTCCAAGTTCAAGGGCCTTAGCTTTCTGTTCAGGAACTGTGAATGGAGTCCCACTGCCTAGAAACTGGCACCCCAAGGGTAACCCTGTCTCTGGGCACCTACCTGCTGGGGAACTCTGAGATTCAAAGTAATCTGCACCCTATGGAGTCATGATTTTCTTTCTTTCTTTTTTTTTCTGGTTTTACAAGACAGGGTTTCTCTGTATTGTTTTGGAGGCTGTCGGTCCAGCCTGGCCTCGAACTCACAGAGATCCGCCTGCCTCTGCCTCCCGAGTGCTGGGATTAAAGGCGTGTGCCCCCACTGCCCGGCCATGATTTTCATCTCAGGTTACAGACAGGAGAGTAAAGCCTGAAGTTCAAGGTCACTCATGGAGTGGGGAAGTAGCTGAGCTGGAACTGCAGGCCCTGCGCCTCCTGTGTCCTGTTTACGGGCATGTGACCTACACCAGTGTACTTTAGATGACAAGAGGAGCTTGATGGAATTCATCGGAAATTCCAGCACTTGAGAAGTTGAGGCAGGAGGATTTTGAACTTGAAGTAATCTTCATCTACACAGTTACATCCAGTCTTAGAAAGAAAAGAAAGGTATAGGGTGGGACTGGGGACTGCAGTTAGAGAAGTTGACCTGAGTTTGGTCTCAGCACCCACATGGTAGCTCACAGCCATCTATAACTACAGCCCTAGGGGATCTGGCCACTTCTTTTGGCCTCCTATGGCATTGCACACACATGCAGAGACATGTATACAAGCAAAAATTCCATACAAATAGAATAATAATAAAACTCAGATCTGTGAGTTCAAGAGCAGCCTGGTCTACAGAGCAAGTTCCAGGACAGCCAGGGCTACACAGAGAAACCCTGTCTCAAAAAACCAAAAAGAAACAAAAAGCCCTGGCCACTCTACCCTTTTTTGAATGGGCCACATAAGGCTTTGCTTTTGAGACAGGGTGTCATAAGCCCAGGTTGCTCTCAATCTCCATATGTAACCAGGGTGATCTGGAACTTTGATCTTTTTGTCTGTGACCCTCAGGCGCTAGGATTTCAGGTGTGTTCCACCTCACTTAGCTTTTCTGTCTTTACTCTTTCCAAAAGTCTAGACAAGGAGAGCTTTCTGTAATACAAGCTCTGTTCTACAAATTAGCCACATGGCAGAGGCCCAGATCCTGAGACAAAGGTCCCACAGCTTCCATCAGCAGGGACAAACTGACCGGATACATTCCTTGGACCAGAGGAATGTATCACTGAATGAGAGGGTGCGATGGGAGTATAAGCCCTGTTGGCCTTTGGATTGCTGGGGTTACTAACTAACCAGCAAAGTTTACACATTGAGAGGCTACAAGAGTGGTTGACTGTGTTGGCCTCAACCCAAGATTTCTAGGCTGAGATGGCTCAGAGGGTAAAGGTGTCTTAGTTTATTACTGCTGTGGTGAAATACTGTGACAAAAGCCATCTGGGGAGGAAAGGGTTTTTGGTTTTGTTTTTTTTTGGTTTTTCGAGACAGGGTTTCTCTGTGGCTTTGGAGGCTGTCCTGGAACTAGCTCTTGTAGACCAGGCTGGCCTCGAACTCACAGAGATCTGCCTGCCTCTGCCTCCCGAGTGCTGGAATTAAAGGCGTGTGCCACCAAATGCCCGGCTATCCAGTTTACCTTGCTTTTACACGAAGCTTCCCTGCATATCACAGCTCATCATCAAAGAAAGTCAGAACTCAAGCAGGGCAGGAACCTGGAGGCAGGAGCTGATGTAGAGGCCATGGAAGGGTGGTGATTACTGGCCTGCTCCTTATGGTTTGCTCAGCCTGCTTCCTTACAGAACCCAGGACCATCCACCCAGGGGTGGCACCACCCATAATAGGCTGGGCCCTCCCCTACCAACCACTAAGTAACTAACTTGGACAGACATTGCTATCGTGGACTAAAACCATAAGCCAAAATCAACCTTGCCTTCCTTGTTTTTCTTTGTTGTTTTCTCGCAATGAAATGCAAGCATCTTAACACAGCATCTGAGAAAATTCCATGGGATCATCAGTGCATGGAATTCCCATATGCTGAGGCTGGCTTTGGTGGTGCATACCTTCAATCCCAGTGATGGATTTCTAGTAGTTCTAGGTCAGCCTGGTCTACATTGTGAGTTCCACAACAGCCAGGGCTATGTAGAGAGACCCTTTCTTTGGAACAAACAGACAGACAAGTCCCTGAGGAAGCAGACATTGTTCATGTTCAGTTTACAAATAGGACTACTGAAACAGGGTCGGAGGGTGTGCCTAAGATCGCACATTGGCAGGATCTGGCAGGCTAGAAAAAGCAAGCGTTATCTACCCCCTGCACATTCTAATCAATCAGTCCACATGGGAGGCTAACCTATATACCCGAGAGGATCTGCACGCCCTCTTTGGAGCCACTGAGCTTGTGGTATGTACATCATAGCGGAAAATTAGTCCATTAGGTGTGTGTATGACTTTGATTAGTTGCTTAATGCTACAATGCCCGTTTGTTTAGTTTACTGTGTGTGTACGTGTGTGCGCACGTGCATGGGCACATACGGCCCAGTGTGCCTGCTGAGGTGAGTTGACAGCTTGACAGAGAGGATCTCCTTCCATCCTGTGGGCCCCAGGCATTAAACGCCAAGTTGCTCAGCTTGTTGGCAGGCACTATTTATTACCTGTTGAGCTATCTTGACAGTTTCCCCCAACTTCCCTTTCTTTCTTTCTTTTCTTTCTTTTTTGAGGCAGGGCTTCTCTGTGTAGCTGTCCTAGAACTCACTCTGTATACCAGGCTGGCCTCGAACTCCAAGAGATCCGCCTATCTCTGACTCCCAAGTGCTGGGACTGGAGCCACTACCACCCTGCCTCAATTCTTTTTTGAAACAGGGTCTCATGTAGCTCAACCTGTCTTCAAACTTAATATGTACTTGAGGATAACCTTGAACTTCTGGTCTTTTTTTTACCTCTAAGTACTGGGATTACCAGCCCAGTTCATGTGGTCCTGGGGATCAAGTCCAAGGCCTCGCACATGCTGAGCATTCTACCAACTGTACTGTGTTCCCCAGTTTGTACACTTGGAAAACTGGGAAAGTGAGGTTATCTCTTCAGGATCACTCTGTGAGTGAGCCAGGTCCAGTGCATGCTGTGTAGGGGAGGGGGCTGACACTGGACACAGGGCTGGAGAGACGGCTCAGTGGTCAAGGCACCGGCTGCTCTTCCAGAGGTCCTGAGTTCAGTTCCCAGCAACCACATGATGGTTCACAACCATCTATAATGGGGTCTGATGCCCTCTTCTGGCTTGCAGATAGAGCACTCATATACATAAAATAAATACACTTTTTTAAAGTGGCTATGTTGGACAGTGGTGGCATAGCCATGCTATGGTGTCACATCCTTTAATCCTAGCACTCGGGAGGCAGAGGCAAGCAGATCTCTGTGAGTTCAAGGCCAGCCTGGTCTACAGAGCTAGTTCCAGGATAGCCAGGGCTACATGGGGAAACCCTGTCTTGAAAAATAAAAGAAGCCGGACTGTGGTGGCACAAGCCTTTAATCCCAGCACTGGGAGGCAGAGGTAGGTCTACAAGACAAGGCCAGCCTGGTCTACAAAAGTTAGTTCCAGGACAGCCTCCAAAGCCACAGGGAAACCCTGTCTCAAAAAAAACAAAAAACGAACAAACAAAAAATCAAAATAAAGCCGGGCGTTGGTGGCGCACGCCTTTAATCCCAGCACTCCGGAGGCAGAGGCAGGCGGATCTCTGTGAGTTCGAGGCCAGCCTGGTCTACAAAGTGAGTTCCAGGACAGTCTCCAAAGCTACAGAGAAACCCTGTCTCAAAAAAACCAAAAAAAAAAAAAATCAAAAGAAAAAAAGGAATTGCTGTTATACAGCCACATGTGTGAACATATCCGAGTATAGATAGCATCAGGACTCTCAGGTCAAGAATATGGGGGAAAGTGAGACATGCTTTCATTGGGGAAGGTCAGAGGTTCCAAGGTCAATGGCCCCAGGCCCTTACAGACTCTCAGTTCTGCAAGTGTGAGTCCCTGTTAAACGCTTTCTATTATAAGCTGCCTTGGTTATGGTGTTTTGTCAAAGTAATAGAAAAGTAACTGAGGCAGCTGGGACTGCACGTAGGTGAAGAAAAAAGTTCTGAGTACACAGTGAATGACAGCCTGGGGCTGTCTTCCCCAGCCTCTCAGCCAGCTGAGCCCTGGCCTTGGCCTGCTCTCCAGCCTCAGAAGGCCCCAAGGGGAGGGCGGGGCTGGTTGCTAAGGTTTCAGGTGGTATGGATCCGGAAGCAGGAAGCAGTGTGAGTTCCCAGGACTCTGGGACCTGGCTGGCTTGGGGGAGAGGGCACCGCTGGAGCGCCGGTGAGGCACTGGAAACAACCTTGCTAGGAAGAGAGAAGTGGACGGTGGGGGGGAGGTTAGGGGCTGCCCAGGTAAGGGGGTGCGCTGAAAGGGCCTGCGGAGTGGGGGAGACAGCAGGTCTGGGGAGATGGTGGCGAGAGGGGTGACAAGGAAGGGAGGTGGTTGCTGGTCAGGAGCAGAGGGAAGAGCAGGAAGAGGCTGGAGGGCTCATGGGGCAGAAGGTAGGGGAAGGCATGAGGGGTCAGGGGGTCATCTTAGGGCATGGTCAAGGTTGTGGATGACCTGAGATGACCCTTTGGGGGGCTGGGGCAGGTAGCCAAAATGGGACCGTCTGCTGATGAGCTGAGGCAGGAGCTGGAGGCCACGGCAGAGGAAGTGCTGGGGAGGCTGAAGAGCCGGCAGCTGTTCCAGTCTGAATGGGACATCGCTGCCTTTGTGGTCTTTCTCACATTTGTGGGTGAGTGTGGCCCCTGCTGCCCTGGGGCAGGGGCAGGGGCAGGGGCAGGGGCAGGGGCAGGGCCACATCTGGATGCCTGTCTGTCTGGTCCCCAGGCATTGTGGTGTTGTTGCTGTTACTGGTTGTCATTCACTGCTGCTGCTGCTGCACCTCTCCCAGACCCCGGAAGGTGAGCCCCATGAAGGTGAGCCTGGGAAGGGGTGGGTGCCACTCAGGTAGGACAGCTCCCAGAGCAGCCTCCTAAGTGTCAGCAGGCAGGGGCAGGGTCTTCTGCAGAGGGTTTAGGCAGGGCTTCAGAGAGTTATCCACAGGACGTCTCTGTTTCTCTTGCAGGAAAAGCCCAAGGGTGTGGATAACTTGGCTCTGGAACCTTAGCGCTAGATCTTGGCATGGGCCCTGCTGGATGACAGTAACAAAGCCAATGTTTGCCAAAGCCTGAGTCTAGACTGTGTTCTAACCCTGCCACGATCGTGTGGTGGCAAGGGTGCACACGTGACTCTTTGCACTCGGGGCCTGAACTCCCAGGCTGACTCTGGCCACTCTCCCATAGGGCCACTCTGTAGCCAGGAGTCCCTTTCTCAAAGGTGTGTTCTGCCTGGGCGCAGGGTGCGATACCAGCACTCAAGAGGCTGAGGCAGGAGGATTGTATACTCCAGGCCAGACTGAACAATATGGATAGAGTCCACTTCAAGGCCTTGACATGGTGTTGAGTGGGAGAAATTGGGTGAAAAGAACACGAAAGGCCATTGATCATCAGGGTCCTTCAACCTAGTCCCTACTAAGTAAGCAAGGAGACAGACAGAAAACAGGGCTCCAGTCAAAATCTGGCCTTTATTTCCTAGAGGTGGGTGAGGTTACAGAACAAACCATCCCAGCCCTGCAGCTTATTCACAGAGATGCTTCCCCCTGCCTGGGTCCCTCTTCCTTCCTACAACAACTCACAGCTCAGTGCCAACCCCCATCCCTCACTGAGAGAATGGGAGAGAGGAGAGCCCTTGGCCTTGTCCCACCCTCAGTCCAAAGGTTCCCACAGGATCCAGAAAGGAAGGGATAGGAGCATGGCCACACCTCAGCCCACCTACCTGACTGCCTCCCCCAACCGCCCGCCCCGTTGTAACAACCAAACCAGCACCCCTTTCTCTAATATTTTCTTCCAGCAGTGCAAATGTGTCACAGGGTGATGAGCAGGGAGAGCAATAACTTGGGGGTGCCTGATAGTGACAGGCACTACAAGGGTATGTGTTGGGGAGAGGGACCTAAGGCAGGGCTACCATCCCGGGAGTAGCACTCTGGCAGGTGCTTGCTCAGAAGGGTCGGGAGCTCCAGTAGCTGGAAAACACAGAGATCTGCAGAGGGAGGGGCGTGGTCAACAAGAGGTGTGGGAGGGTGTGTGACCAAGGGGGTGCTATAGGTGAGGTTAGTGGGTGCTACAACCCCGGAACCCAGGTGAGGTGTCAAGGTTCGGGAACTGTTGCCCGTCGACTGGTGTGTGCAGTACAGTGGGCTTTACAGCTTGGGGGCACTGGGGAAGTGGGACACGGCCCCTGAATGGCTTCCGTTCCCCATATGCCCTGGACACACCTTATCCTTGAGCTGCTGGCAGAGCTGCAGGGACACAGTGAAGTACACCAGGGCGTCGTTGAGCCAGGGGATCACGCATTCCACCTTGTGCACATGGCTCACCTCTAGGCGCTGTGAGCCCCACTCACTGGGGAGAGAGAAAAGTGGATCCCTGGGGGTAGGCCTGGACCCAGCCCCCAAGATGCAGAGGAGGCAGGAGGGAAAGGGCGCTAGGACATCTTACTGTACTCACAACATGGCCCCCGGGCTGTGAAGCACTGCACCTCCAGAGGGCCGGAAGTTCTAGGCAGAGGCAGCAGAGTGTGAGGCCGAGGTGGCAGTCTTCAGCAGGGCTGCTGTGGGGCGCTGGGAGGGGGAGGACTTTACCTTGGTGGAGGTGGGCTGCAGCGCATGCAGCTGGTACACGGTGAGGCATAGCTTGTTGAGGTTGATGTAGACATTGACCAGCAGGTCAGAGGGGAGGGTAGGTGCAAACATCCTCTGGGGGAGGGTGGAGGAGGGATGAGGCCCTCTCCCACTTTAGGCTGCACCACTACAGGGTATGGAATTACCCTGTGGGGGATTCCAGTCCTATCCCCAGGGGATTCTCCATAGGCTGGGGCACCAGAGGCTCCCATGTATCCCCATAATCTCCATGTGCTGCTAGGTTGCAAGCCATTGGCTGAAAGCAGGGTTCACATTGGGGGCAGGATGCAGGATGGAGGTCAAGAACTCAACCCAGAAAACTGTCCAGATACAGAACTCTAACTGGCTGGGCTTCTCAGTAGGGACATCTCTCTCGAGGCAAGGGCTGTCTGAGGCACTAACCGTGAGGCCACTGGCAGCAATCTCTGGTAGGGTGAGGGTGGCTGGGGTAGTGAGCCGGTTTCTGGCTCTCGTCAGTTGCAGCATCACAGCATCCATGAGCTGGGAAGGGGTAGGTGACTGCTGCTACTTAGGAGTAGCAGCTGGGGACCCTCGTGTCCCACCCCCTAGCATCAGTGAGCAGCATCTGTAGCTTCTGCTCCTGCCAGGTGACCATGGTTCCCAGGCCTAAACTTTGCAACCCTAGCAGGGGTGCTTGCCATTCTGAGAGCCTATCACCTGGGGCATCTTGGAGAAAAAGCTGGAGTCCTAGGCATCTAAGTCAGTGTCCCCACGTACCATGTGGCCTTGTTCTGTAACAGGGTTTTACCACCACCACCACTGCAACAGGACTACTAACAGGTAGATCTTGGGGAGAGGGGCATCTACCTGAGTTACAGGTATCACTACAGATAGGCTTTTAACATGTGGGCAAATGGGGGATCAGAGTAGCAAATACCTTAAGGTTGCACATCTCACATAGAGGTCCTGGGACTGGAACCAGGCCTGATACTGCAATCTAGCTCATAAGCCAATAACTGTGGCCAGACCTGTGAGCACTGACTGGGGAAGGAAGCTTGGGCACATGGCGCTGGCACTGTTTGGGTAAGTGGGTAGGACAGGAAGAGTCACCTTGAGGACCTCGGCTCCTGTCTTGAACTGGTAGCTCTCATCCCGGTTTGCCAGGAGGTAAATAGCTTGGCTCACGTGGTTCCTGGCATCCTGGATCTGGGAATAGCCCCACCACCCATATAACCAAAGTCTATTAGTTTCAGGGCAGTCATACTTCTGGGTTCTCAGGCTGACCCCCTAACACAGGAACCCACTTGATGGGCAAACCTCTCAGAAGAAGGTAATGCCACCTATGGTCACAATACCCTCCAGAGCTGTAGTCTTTGAAACTGGATGGCCAGGCCCCAGACAATCCTGGCTGCCAAGGCACACTGGCTCTTGGCCCTGCAAAAGACAACCCCTAGTACAGACACAAAATAATAAGCCTGCAGGGCTCAAGGGAGGAAACAAGCAAGCATAGGAGAGCCCTGAGAACTAAGAAAGGCACAGGAATGGGTGGTGGTGCACACCTTCAATCCCAGCATTTAGGAGGCTGAGGAAGGAAGGTCTCTGAGTTCAAGGCCAGCCTGGTCTACAGAGAAAGTTCCAGGACAACTAGGGATATGCAAAGAAACCCTGTCTCAAAAAACCCAACCAACCAACCAACCAAACAAAAAACCCCACAGGAGTGGGAAAGAGTAGGGCCTTAGAAAGAGTAGCACACATAGGCGAAGGCCCTGGGGTATGGACCAGCTTCAGGTCAGGGTGTGTATGCATGCCCATGGGTAGGCAGGAGGCCTGTGTATGGTCCCAGGTACATGGGAAGCCCGTCTTGAGTGAGTGACATTCAAAGGGACCTTTAGCTGTCCTCACACCGCCAAAGTCACTAAAGTAGGATCAGTTTCATATCCCTTATGTGGAGCAGGTTCTAGGGCCCCAAGCCACCACCACCCTAGTTCTGCTAGGAAACAGCCTATGTTTTGCTGTGGTCAAAGTCCCTACTTCCCCATGAAAGTAACACCAGGGAGGCCTTAGCTTGGGCCTGCGCTGGGGCCTGACTGCGGTTGGACAAGGGATCCTCACCTGTTGTAGCTTCCATTGCTTGTCCTCCCGGAAGGCGAAGTGTAACAGCTGGTTGTTCCGAGGCATCTTCAAGTTCACATCCTATGGGCCAGAGTGTGATAAGCAGGCAGAGGTACCCTGTGCTTCCTGACAGGAACACAGTAGGTGGGTGGCTGAGGCCCCAGGCACTTCAGGGTTAAGTGATCAGGAATGTGAAGAAATAGGAACCCAGGCCCAGGAGAACCTCGAGGCAGTGGCAGTAGAAGGGAAAGGAAGTTGAGAAAGGGGAATGTCTAGAGGGAGGGGAGTGCTGTGAAGTCAAGACTGATCCACAGACAGGGACTGCCCCCATGCTTTGATCCGGGGCAGGCATGCCTAGGCGCTAATGCTCACATTTCACAGGGGCCAGATGCCAGGCTGAGCTAAGCATGAAGTCACCCACTTCCTGTCCCTCGTACAATCTATATGCCTATCTCATGAAGCGGTGTGAGGGTTGCCTGTCAAAGGACAGACATACAAGGAAACAGCTCCAGAGAGGATAAATTTCCTGCCCGTAGCATGCAGCTAGCTGGTGGCAGAGCTAAGAGGCCATCCTCGTCACCAGCAGGACGACTGTGGAATGGGGCCCCGGGGGTGGTGGTGGAGACATAACTCACCGCCTGGCTGAGGGCATCACCTTGCAGAGTCAGCACACCCTTCACCTGGTCTGTGCTATAACACACAGGAGTCAGAGGGGTGCCGGCACCAGCAGCAGCATTTCCTCCCCCAGGCACTCCAGAGTACCCTCCCAAAAGCTCCTGCCCAATCTAGCTCACCCACAGCTGCCTAGGATGAAGTTCTCCTGTTTGGTAGGTCCCTCTGTGCTGGGTCCTGGGAGAGTGAAGCGGAGAGAGGCCTCCTGTGGAAGACAGGGCAGTCCCAACACCTCAGTCTGGCCAGTGCTCCATTCCAAGGCCCTAGATTCCTTGTCAGATTAGCCAGGGAAAGGACAAGGCGGGCCTGATCCGGCTCCTCTGCCTTTGCCCTGTCAACCCTCCAAGCCTCGGTGAGCTCACACCTGTTCACTCCACGGTCCTGAGGATCTACCAGGAGCAGCCAGGTAGGAACACAGAACGGAGAGGCACATTACCTAGCTAACTGGAGTGTTGGGGCAGAGGCATGGAATCATGCAGTAGTCAGTCATGCTTTCCTAGATCACCGTGCTAGGCATTTTGTGAGATGATTTACTCATCTTCACAACAGCTCTGTGAGCCTGGTTAGGGGGAGGGAGCAGGCTCAGAGATGTGGGTAACTTGGCTGGGGGCGGGGATCCTTCAGAGCTGGGATGATCAGTTTTTGTTTTGAGACAGTGTGTCATGATGTAGCCTATGGCTAGCTTCTAACTCGAGATCCTCCAGCCTCACCCTCTCGAGTGCTGGGATTACAAGCTTTCACCACCACTCTGCTCACTGACGAAATGTCACTGTTTCAAAGTTAGCCCTCACTCAAGACCCTGTGTTAACCCTGGGGTCTAGACCTCGCTGTACACACACACACACACACACACACACACACACACACACACACACACACACACACACACACACACACACACACACACACACACCACCTTGCCTGCGGGGTCTAAGACCTCGCTGTACACACACACACACACACACACACACACACACACACACACACACACACACACACACACACACACACACACACACACGCCACCTTGCCTGCATCTGGCCTGTACCTGAACGCCACCACGCTCAGCAGCCGCCGCTGCGGGACCGATGGAAAGAGGGATGGCAGGCCGGGCGTGACCGGCTCTTACCTTGAGGATGTCCTGCAGCTGTCTTAGCACGGCGTGCACCTCAGCGTTCAGCAACCAGCGGAATTCCTCCTCCTGCGGACAGCGCGGCGTCAAGCCCGTCAGTCCCCGCCGCCCGCCGCCCGCCGCCCGCCGCCCGCCGCCCGCCGCCCGCCGCCCGCCGCCCTCTCCTCACCAGCACTGCCCGTTCCGCTGCGCTCGCAGCCATTGCGGTCGCCATAGTCGCGGCCGCGGCGCCGTCTCTGAGGTCAGTAGCCTGGACCTTGGCCCACCGCGACGGCCCCTCACCTTCTCCCGGGACCGATTGGGAGATTAGGCGCAAGCTCCGCCCCAAGCCGGTTCCGCTTTACTCGACCAGCTGTAGCTCCGGGTCCTGGCTCACCAGGCGGCGGACGGGCCACGCTTCGCCGCCCACCCGCCCTTAACCCGTGTTCCTCAGTAGGGGCGGGGCACTACGGCAACCAACCTAGCTCTATTGCTTACTGATTGGCCAGCAGGGCCGTCCCTCATTGTGCTGTCCCTGTACTGTTCCGCCAGATGGCGCCCGTCCGGCAGGGACGCAGAGGGAGGTCTGAGCTGGGCTGACATCGGAAGGAGGCCTGGGCATGGGCGCCCTGTGGCTCACACTCTAGGTCCCCAAAGCGCTCTGGCATAAATGTCACAGCTGTGGTACCAAGAAATGTTTTATTTTTCTTTTTTCTTGCAGTAGCTTTGTTAATTGCACAAAATCATGTTTTGTTTTTGCCATTTAAACATTATCACACAATCCTATTCCGAAAGACAAATGCTCATTAAAAACAAAGCGAAAATAAAAATTCACAACCTTAATCACCTAGATTTGTCATTTAAAGGAAAAGGGGAGGAGGGGCTTTCTTACAAGCATTTTCACAATGTCACATTTTCTCCTTAAAAGGGAAGGATTTCAAAACAAAAGGTGAAATAGCTTAAACAGAAATAGTCATAAAAAGGAACTTTACAGAATTGTCAACAATATTAAGACAACATTGACTAACCGGTTTCCTTACAGCATATTCCCCACCCCCAACCCCCAGGACCAAGACAGGATGTGTCCAGACAGAAAACAGGCTCAGCATCCCACTGAATGAGCAATTGTGCTGAACCCCACAAGCATTCTTTGCTCCATGCCCATGTCCTGAAATCTTTATCCCAGGTTCTTCCCAGTGGAAGTCAAATTGTGGCTTTGGAAATCCAAACTCATGAGGAGGAAGGCAGACACCTCAGGTGATTCCTCTCATGTGACATTCTAGGCCTCTCTGGTCCCTCTCCAAGGAGAAATGCTAGGGCCTACAGATGACTGACTCCACCTCTGAGGGGCAGCTAGGTTAGCAGAACAAGGCCCAATTCTCTTCCGTCCCAACAAACCCAGGATTTGGAACCATTGATACTGGCAGAAGTGAGGTTCCAGCTCTAAAGCCCAGCCTATGAAGTGCTCATCTATGAAGTGTTTATTATTGATTGGTGTTGGTCAGGCTGGGTCTGGGCCAAAACAGGATGGGACAGAAATACTATCTCCATGGGAGGAAAAGGGAAAGAGGGGCATGCAGGGGACCTGTGTAGAGCAGGCTGAACAGGTGGCCCAGCTAAAGACGACATTAACGGAAAGGAGGAAGGGGCCACCCTCACACTCCACTGCTCCCAGTGCCCTCAAGACCCCTTCCCATAGGCTGGAATGCAAATCCAAACAAAACTTCCTGGGAAAAAGCAAGCTCCAGCCATAGAGCCAGCAGCCAGGGAGTGGGAGCCTGTGGACTCTGCTCCCTCTGAAGAGGTGTCTGTGTGGCCACGCTGGTCTCTCTTCAGTTCACAAAGGTGTCCTGGGAGGTGCTGCGTAATGGTAGTGTCTATAGGAAAATCCTCAGCTGGAGGCCACAGTGCCTCCTTGGGAATCTGCTGGTTCATGATGGCTCAAGGGGCCTCTCCTTCCAGGGGTCCAGTGGGGGCTATGGACCCTCTGCCAGCCCTTCCTGGGAAAGCTGGGAGACGGCTTCCTGTGCTCCCTGCCAACTCTAGTCCCTTGGCCAGAAGGGGGATGAGAGAAGACAAACTTGGAGGAAGAACAGCCAGACAGCAGTTTCTGGGCAGCTTGTATCCTGGGGTGGGTGAGAGAGAGAGAGAAAGAGAGAGGGGGGGGGGGAGAGGGGGAGAGAGAGAGAGAGGGGAGGGAGAGACAGAGAGAGAAAGAGAGAGACAGAGACAGAGAGAGAGGGAGGGAGGGAGAATACACAGCCTCCTGCTCCAGGGCCAATGCCCAGCTCAAGAGCTTCTTCACAGCCACCTGTGGAGATCCTTAAACCCCTGCCCAGGGCCTCAGGGAGGGGAGTGCTGCTGTTTACTGTGCTGATGCAAGTCTCAAAGTCTGTATAAAAGGAAATGGAGACAGGTGACTGGTCCAGAGCTAAGTCCCAGAACCCTGACCCCACATTGGGAAGAGAGGCCAGAGGGAAGAAGGGAGGGGTATTTGGGTGGGCAAGGATTAGTGTATGTAGGCTCGATACACGGCAGACATATCATTGTCAGACTGGTCCAGTGCCTTGGCTCTTTTGTATACCTGGAAAAAAAAGAGGCAGGTGTCAGTCTCTAGCCACAGAGCTATTGTGTGACGACTTGGCCCTGATACTTGGAGGCACTTCCAGATGAGTCTTGCCTGTTGCTTAGCAGGCAGGACTTGCCTGGAGCTTGGGATGTCTGGATCCTGGGTATGAATTCTGGATCTATGTGGGGCAAGTGCCCCAGCATCTGGGGGCTTCTGCAGACCACAGCTTGGTCTGCAGAAGCAATGGTCACAACCCGCATGGCTTTGCTCAGAGGGCTACAAATACTCAAGAGATGTGAAGTGTACAGTGCCATTAGGAGTCATGGTGACAGCCGTCAATGAGAAAATTCTCCAGGATGTTTTATTGTCCCCAGCACCAATGTGCCCTATTGTTCCTGCTGCATGGAATACTTTTTTTCCCGAGACAGGGTTTCTCTGTATTGTTTTGGAGGCTGTCCTGGAACTTGCTCTGTATACCAGGCTGGCCTCGAACTCACAGAGATCTGCCTGCCTCTGCCTCCCGCGTGCTGGAATTAAAGGCGTGCGCCACCAACGCCTGGCCTGGGATACTTTCTTTAACATGGTTGGCACCTCCTAACCAACTTCACAAAGGCTTCTTTGAGCCCCTCATCAACACAGCAGCTGTGACCCTTTGATTTACCCACTACCTGTTACTTTGTTTTATTTAAAATTTTTATTTTATTTTTTTTGGTTTTTACGAGACAAGGTTTCTCTGTATTGTTTTGGAGGCTGTCGGTCCAGCCCAGCCTTGAACTCACAGAGATCCGCCTGCCTCTGCCTCCCGAGTGCTGGGATTAAAGGCGTGCGCCACCACCGCCTGGCTAAAATTTTTATTATTTCACATGTCTGCATGTATGTCTGTGCACCATCTATATGCCTGGTGGTCTTACAGGCCCCCCCCCAAAAAATGGTGTTGGATCCTCTGAAACTAGAGTTACAGATGGTTGTGACTTGCCCAATAGGTGCTGGGAATTGAACCCAGATCCTCTGGAAAAGCAGTCAGTGTTCTTAACTACTGAGCCATCAGCCTTAGTATTTGAGTTTTATTGTTATTTGCAACAGGGCTTTCTTACAAAAATCACATGTTTTTTCCCCCCTTCTCATTATATACATAGCCCTGGCTATCCTGGAACTCACTATGTAGACCAGGCTGACCTTGAATTCAGTGATCTGTCTGCTTCTGCTTCTACAGAGCTGGGATTAAAGATGTATGATACCACATACAGCTTTTTATTTTTTGTGTACACCTTAAGCTTGTTTTGAACCGAAGATACAACTGAAGATGATCTTGAACTCCTGATTTTCCTGCCTCTACTTCCCATGTGCTGAGATTACAGGCAGAGGACACTACATCATGCCTGGTTTATTAATTTCTTTGTTTTTTCAAGAAAGGGGTTCTCTGTGTAACAGTCTTGCTGTAGACCCGGTTGACTCACAGAGCTCTGCCTGCTTTGTTTATTAATTTTTAAAAAAGATTTATTTATTGTGTATACAGTATTCTGTCTGCCATGTATGCTTGCAGGTCAGAAGAGGGCGCCAGATCTCATTACAGATGGTTGTGAACCACCATGTGGTTGCTGGGACTTGAACTCAAGACCTCTGGAAGAGCAGCCAGTGCTCTTAACCTCTGCACTGACTCTCCAGCCCGTTTATTAAAAAAAAATTTTTTTTTGGTTTTTCGAGACAGGGTTTCTCTGTATTGTTTTGGAGGCTGTCCTGGAACTCGCTTGGTAGACCAGGCTGGCCTTGAACTCACAGAGATCCGCCTGCCTCTGTCTCCCAAGTGCTGGGATTAAAGGCGTGTGCCACCAATGCCCAGCTGATAAGAAACTCTTAGTCTTACAGTTGAAAAGGAAAAATGCCAGAGAAACCTAATTTTTAACAAAAACCAGAAAGATGGAAACAGCTATCTAGAGGAACTAGTTAGAAACTATGGTTAGGGACAAGTATGTGGTAAAGTAAACAAGGTGGTTGGATTTTTGTTTTTTTTTTCAAATTGGCACAAGGTGAATTCTGAGGTCCTTAAGGATATCCATTGAATACTGACAACCAACACTGCAGAAAAGCAAAGTACCATAAAAAAGCCAAGATATGAATGTTAATGAGATCCTACCACACAAATAACCTTAGAGAAGATGAGCAAGAAGGAACAGACGAAGAGAGGGATTGACAGAAACAAAAGTGAAAAGGACAGCCCCAAATCCCAATTGCTCTTCAATATAGGGGCAGCATGCTAATGGAGGCACTGGCCTTGGAACCTGCACTCAGGGTCTTGTGCAGTGCAGACCCTGAACTTACATGATTCAGGGGTTTCACAGTCTACATTCCAGTGTGAAATGAACCAAAATTATGCAGCCAGAGCAGAAACAACCTGGAACCACCAAGAAGCTCTCCCCACAAGCCTACAAAGAACCCTTCCTAACCACATCTAAGATGAATTTTATAAAGAAGCTGCAAATACAAAAGGAATTCCCTGCCGAGGCTCATGGTTAGAAGTTTAATGGGATGTAGAGATGGCTCAGTGGTGAAGAGCACTTGCTGTTCTCTCCTGTAGAGGGCCCTGCTTTAGTTGCATAACAACTGCCTCTATCTCCAGGGGATCCAGCATCTTTTGTCAGTGTGGTCCCAGCACTCCTGTGCACACATAATTAAAAATAAATACTTTTTAAAAAAGCATTTTAAAACAGAAATTAAATGGAAACTAAAATTCCAGCTACTTAGGAGACTGATGGGAGAGAATGTGAGCCTCAGCATAAAGAAGCAGCCAGGACAACAAGGACTCCTTTTCCAAAAGAAACTTCTCAAAAGTCATCATGTGATATAACATATTACATTATATGAAATTATGTGAATGGACAAAACTGTAATTGCTAAGCAGACACTGAAAATGGACAAAAATGCAAGCCCCAACCATAGGCCATGTAAACATAACATGATTCAAACAGGTATGCTGAAATACACCTGTAATCCTAGCACTATAGACACTGAGGAGTGTGAATCAGAGGCTAGTCTGGTCTACCTAATGGGAGAGCTAATGAGAGCCAGAGGTATAAAATGAAATCCTGTATGAGAAGGGTAGAATTAAAGGACAGTAACAGAAATCCCATAGTCACAGCTGAAACATGTGAACAGTCAACCACGTTGACTGAACAACACAAACCAGTCACTGCACAAACTCACATCTGTTTTCCTTTTTCTTTTTTGGTAGCATCAGGTATTGAATCCAGGGTCTTATGCATGTTAGGCAATTACTCTACCAAGAAATGTTATCTTTAGTCCCTCCTGTTTTGTTTCTTTTTTTACCCGAGACACGGTTTCTCTGTGTAACAACCCTCACGGTTTCTCTGTGTAACAACCCTGGTTGGAACTGGCTCTGTAGACCAGACTGACCTCAAACTCAGAGATCCACCTGCCTCTGCCTCCTGAGTGCTGGGATTAAAGGCGTGTGCCACCACCACCTGGCTTCAGTTCCTTCTTTTTAAAACTTATTTCTGAGACTGACTCTTGTAAGTGTGGGCTGGCCTCCAACCTTCTGCTTCAGCTTCTTGAGTAGTCAAGGATATAGGTATGTTCTGCCAAACCTGGCTAGACAAACTAGAAAAATCCAGAGCAAAGAAAACATGATGAAGGAAATAGTAACAATAAGTTGTTGTGGTTCAAAAGGAAATGTACAGCTCTCATGCTCATGTCATAGGTAGGCCTAGAACTGTTGCCTAGGGTTCCTCTGTCAGGACTAGACAAAGAATTCAGATCCTAATTTAAAGACAGAAATATTGAATTCTACACACAATGTTCTTTTCCTCTGTTGGCTCAGTGTAGTGAGAATAAAATATAAAAATTTAGATAAAGACATGGTGGTGGCACATGTCTTTGATCCTAGAACTCAGAGGCAGGCAGATCTTTTGAGTACAAGGACAGCCTGGTCTACAGAGCGAGTTCTAGACAGCCAGAACTACACGGAGAAGCCCTGTCTGGAAAAACCAAAAACTATAAAAAACCAACCTCCAACTAACCAAAAAACTTGAGAGTCAGGTGTGGGCTTACACATCTGTAACCCTAACACTCATGAGGCTGAGCAGCAGGAGGGTCTACAAGATCCTGTTCCATAAAATGGGAAGAAAAGCTAAGCAAGCAGGACAGAAATAACAACTAAAGGCAAGGATCTAGGCCCTGGATCACTTGATGTCAAGTTACCTCATTGGCTGCAGCTGCCATGGGCGTGGGGTGGTTGACTGCATCACCCAGTGCAATAGCCAGGCGGAGATCCTTCTGAATGTATTTCAGGTAGAAGTCAGGTTTAAAGTTCCCTTGTAGGATATCTGAGGGGGAAAGCCATTCATCAGAAGTCTAAAGACTTACATGAAAATTGCCTTGGAGTATCAGGCTCACCTCCAGCATTTCAAAAGCATACAGCCCTGTTCCTCCCCATATCCTAAAGACTGGGGACTCCAGTTTGGGGCCTCAAAAACCATTCACTGTATCTTTGGGCCTCCTCTGACTAGGCCAAGGACTGACTGGAGAGGGGGCTCTTTCAACACAACGAACCATGAGAGGACTCTCTCTCCTGGATGGTCTGGTCCAGCTGCTCAGTTCTAAAAAAAAAAAAAAATGCAAGGAGAGAAGCCAAAGGTGACTTACTTTGGCACTTCTGGTCCAGGAAGATACTAGCCAACTGTCCCTGATTGAGGATGTCCAAGAGTGTTTGCTGTGACTGGCCTGTCACCTGAGCCAGCGTCAGACCCTCAGCGATGGTAGCCATGAAGCTCCCTTGGACCATGTTCACAATCAGCATCATCTTGGCTGCATTGCCAACTTCACCTGCAGGGTAAAGGTTATTTTTCAAGAATCCTATAGGCAGGTCATCCTTATCTGCCCTCATCCATGCATCCTGAAAACCTCTTTCATCTGTCCTGGACAAGACAGGTTCCTTTTCCATCCAGGTACTAATTGTGCCTGACAAAAGAAGCCTTCTTCCAGGGAGCCTGGTGGGAAGGCCATGTGGGACAGACACTGTCACCAGTGTGTTCCCCTGCCCCATGTCTTCAGGTCCAACATGTCCAGACAGGCAGGCAGATATATTACCTAAAAAGAAGGACGTCTTCCCCATTGCCTGGAAGCAGCTGCTGCAGTCCTCATATAAGCCCCTGTCTCCGGCTGCTAAAATTACCAACATCCCGTCATTGGACAGTTGCTGATTCCCTGAGACTGGGGCTTCCAGAAAGCGCCCTCCTCTGGATACAATCACCTGTAAGGAAAGTCACAACTTCTGATGGGTCTTGCTTCTCCAAATATGGAGGAAGGAACACAGGGGCCTCATTATAGGGTATGTTAGCATGTGATTATCTACACTAAAGTTCTAAAGCCTACCACAACTATAGTGGGTCCTTTAACCAGAAGTGAGTCACAGAAAGGAATAAGGGAGCTACGGTCTGCATCTTGATTCCCAGCATTCTGGTTCTCAGAGACCAAGGGGAAAACATGATCATACAGATTCCTTGGTTGAATTCTGCCCACTGTACCCTGCCCATCACTGAACTCAGCCACCCTCAGAACACAGTGGGTCCAGAAGATTGGGAGGAGGACACTATGCTAGACTCAACTGTAGATAGTTGCTTAAGCCAAAAAGGCCACACTGGCAATCTGGAGGCTTCTCACTGCAGAAGGGCTGATAGCATGGGGCCTCCTGTCTACTAGCCTGCAGTGACCTTCCATGGCAGTTCCAACCAGCTGAGGCTCTGAAGGGGGACAGTCAAGAGGCTAGTCCCAAGGCTCCCGACGTCCGCTCTGGCTTTGGCTCTAGTGTAACCAAACTGCCCGTACTTGGGTGTGGTCAGCCTGGGTCTTGGGCTCCCACTGAAAAGATGATCCAGAGCCAGCCTAGATAAGGCTGCTACCTGGGCCAGCTCGGTGACAGTATCCGCATCCACCGTTGACATGTCCACATAGCACTTCCCAGGGCGGATCCCTTGCAGCACACCGCTGGGGCCCAGCACCAGCTGTAGGGACACAATGGAGAAGCAACAGCCCAGGCTTGCAGTTAAGTGCTCAGAAGTTCCTGCAGAACACAGTCTGTTGTTTTTTGGGGGCTCACTTCCTGATCAGAAGTTAACTATTAAAAATGAAAAGGAAAGAGCCACTTAATATGTATGGGAAAGAAAAGTAATTTCAGGCAGAGGTAGAGGGATTTCTGTGAGTTCCAAGTCAGCCTTGTCTCCTACATAGTAAGTTCCAAAATAGTGAGGGCTACATAGTGAGATTTTGTTTAAAAAAAAAAAAAAAGTCATTCCAGAATGTCCCCCTTTACCTTTGCATTCTCTTCCAATAGTTCAAAAGACAGAATATAATTACTTATTATGAGGGCTTCTCTGGACCCAATCACTCACAGTTAATGGGATCACTTTGTAACACATGCAAATTCAGAATAATTAAAACAGGAGTTGGCACACTCAGCCACAAACAATCCAACTCAATAGAATACCTGGAGCTAGTTTAGAAAAATGTTTTAGCAGACTTTAAGGACCCTAGAAGTTTTTCATTAACCTTGACAAAATCTTTCCCAATAGGAGATGGCCCCCAGATGTGATATTCCCCCACATGCAAACACTCACTCAGTGTGCAGGGGAGAAGGGGAGGAGGCCAGCCAGCTCTCTTGGCTACGACCTGAGGTGTAGAGGGAAGGGGGATCCTTACGTCCTTGGCTGCCTTTGGATCCGACACACAGGCGAAAGTGATGTCACAAGTTGAAACAACTTCAGCGGGGGTTCTTCCTAGGCGGGCCCCCTCCTGGATGAACAAATCACACTGCAAAAGTCACAGATCCTAACGTGAGCTGCATGCAATGCACAACAAACATGCTGGACAGGCCAGAGATGTGTGGACCCCTGGCTGGTCTCCCAGGCTGAGGCCCCGGGACACTGGAGCTGGAGGTCTGACCTCTTAAGTATAAGAGTGCAGAGACTTTACAGACTATCCTTTGTAGATAGATGTGGTATCTAGAATGATACACTGCTTCACAAACACAATGCCAATGACTGTTGAAGGCTGCCAGTTTGAAGAGCAGGATTTGAACAGTGCCTATGTCCAGCTCCTCTGTGCTGGTACAGCTGTGACAAAACCAGCCTAGTGACCCAAGCCACTAGCACACACAGAGGAGCGGGCCTGGGCTGTAAGGTCCCTTTCTTCTGACCACCATTCACTCCTGGGCTGTTCCAAGTCCTGCAGCCAGGTTAAGACTCATGAAGGATCTTGAAGACTTAGCATCTTTATGTCTAAAACTAAAATCATTCAGAATACCCTTTAAATCAGAACACTGGTATTTCAGTGAACATTTCCCCCATAAGATAAGAGAAGGCTGGGCAGAAGTGGTGCCTGCCTTTAACCTCAGCACTGAGGAGGCAGAGGCAGGCAAATCTCTGAACTTGAGGCAGGCTTCAGCTATCCAGGATAGGCAGGGCCATGCAGAAAAACACTGTCTCAAAAAACCAAAACAAGGTATTGAAAGATATAATCAGAATAACTTGGGCACATGATTTTGTAAGCAGGTTTTCTCTTAAAAAGAAAAAAAAACTTTAAAAAAAGTTTATTTTTATGTATGTTTTGCCTGCATGTATATACAGGCATCACATGTGTGCTTGGTGCCTTTGATGCTCAGCTGGAGGTGCTGGATTCCCTGAATCTGGAGTTATGGGTGTTTGTAAGCCACCACTGTGGGTTCTGGAAATGAAACTGCATATCCTCTGAAAGACTAAACAGTGTTCTTAACTGCTGAGCCATCTCTCCAGGACCCCTAAAATGCTTTTTTTTTAAAATTGCATTAATTTTATTTGTATGCATATATGTACACATGTGAAGGTCATTGTTCTCCTTCCACTACAAGGGTTCTGGGGACTGATGCAGGTTGTCAGTCTTGGCAGCAAGCACCTTTACTCACTGAACACAAGGAACCATATTTGTCTTTTCTTATACTGCCACAACTACTTGGTTGGTGGACATTCAAAACTGTCTAATTTTTATTTTGGAAATTACCCAATAACTACTGATCTAGAACTGTAGAGATGGCTCAGCAATTAAAAGCACTTATTATTTTTCCAAAGGACTTGGGTTTTATTCCCAGTACCCACAGAGCAGCTCACAACCTTCTGTAACTCCAGTTCCAGGAGATCCAACACTCTCTTCTGATTTCCAAGGGCATCAGGCTTGCATATAGTATCTATACACATATACAGGCAAAACCTTCATACACATAAAATAAATATAAAGTAAATTTAAGGCCAGATGTAGTGGTGTACACCATTAATCCTAGCACTTGGGAGGCAGAAGGTGGATCTCTGGGAGTTTAAGGTCAATCTTCAACTCACAAACTGAGTTCCAGGCAAAGCCTGAGTTATATAGTGAGACCCTGTCTAAAAAACAGCACTTAAAACAACAACAACAACAACAACAAAAAACCCTGCTTATCTTTTTCTTTTTAAAAAGATTTATTCATGTATTTTATGTATAAGTGCCCTGTCCTCATGCAAATCAGAAAAGGGAATCCGATTCTATTACAGATGGCTGTGAGCCATTATGAGGGTGCTGGGAATTGAACTCAGAGCAGTCAGGTGCTCTTAACCACTGAGCCATCTCTCCAGCCCCCTTATGTTTTCCTTTAAGAGAATTTTGATTGTTTATAGATAGTCTTTGCAGATTACCTGGAGATAGTTCTCTGATCAGTCTTTGCTGCTCCTCCCTACCTTGTAATGAGCAGTCTTTGTTGGAGGCAAGTGCTGTCTAGTCTACTTGGTGGCTTAGAGTTCTATGGTAGCCATCAGGGACTGAAGCTTTAGGTTTTGTTTTCAGGCTAGGAGTTCTCACTGAGTGTCCAATTTTAAAAATTATTTATATATGTTTATGTTTACAGATGCACATATATGTAGACTCATGTGCACATAAACTTAGGAGGCCAGAGAACAACATCCAGTGTCTTTCTAAACTGGCCTCAATTTTAATTAAAAATTGTAAAGGCCCAGCTTTTTTTTTTTTGGTTTTACGAGACAGGGTTTCTCTGTTATTGTTTTTGGAGGCTGTTGGTCCAGCCTGGCCTTGAACTCACAGAGATCCGCCTGCCTCTGCCTCCCGAGTGCTGGGATTAAAGGCGTGCACCACCACCACCGCCCGGCTAAGGCCCAGCTTTTATGTGGCTATTAGGGGGTTTGAACTAAGGACCTCAGTGAAAAGCAACTCAATCATATTTTAGAGAGAAAACCGGTCTACTTACTGTATTTACTGCAAAGAACAGTAAAAGGAGAACCACTGGTCCCCTCCCCTTTTATTTATATAGATGAATGTTTGCCTGAATATATGTCACATGTGCACCTGGGGGCTTCAAAGGCCAGAAGAAGGTATCAGACCCACCACAATAGCACTGAGAACTGAACCCTGGTCCTCTGTAAGTACTATTAACTGTTGAGACATTTTTTCTTTCTCTTTTTAATTTTATGTGCATTGGTATTCTGCCATGGGTTGTTGGGTCCCCTGGAACTGAAATTATAGACTGCTGTGGGCTGCCATGTGGATGCTGGGGAACTGAACCCAGGACCTCTGGAAGAGCAGTCAGTGCTCTTAACCACTGAGCCTTCTCTCCAGCCCCTTGAGCCATTTCTTTAGTCCACCACTTACCCTTAAGGTATTTTTTTTTTTTGGGCCAGGCAGTAGTGGTGGCGCATGCCTTTAATCCCAAGGAAAGAAGGAAGGAAAGAAGGAAGGAAGGAAAAGAAATTTTGATAGTGTTTAATTCTGCAGCTGAAGTTAGCCCAGGCTGGTTTTGAACTCATGGTGAACCTTCTGCCTATGCATGAGCCATTATAACTCAATTTTATTCCCCCACCCACAAGACAGGGTTTCTGTGTAACAGCTCTGGCAGTCCTGGAACTAGCTATGTAGAACAGGCTGACCTCAAACTCACAGAGATCTGTCTGCCTCTGCCTCCCAAGAGCTGGAATTAAAGGCTTGCACCATCCCTACCCCATTTACTTTTTTTTCTGGAAATTAAAACCATGTTTCCTATTTATTATCTCAGAAGCACCAGCTATCATTTTGGTACTGGAGTCTCATTGTGTTGTGCAATCAGTCTGGCCTAGGAAATCTGGCCTCAAGAGATCCTCTTGCCTTAGCCTCCTGAGCACCTGTGGCTCTTTACCTGGCCAAAGAACCATTCAATTTTTTTCTTGCTTTTATATTTATTTACTTAGTGATGTGTATATATGAACATGTGGGTCAGTATAGTGATATATTATTTATGATTTATTAAAGCTTGACTGAAGATTCAGAAAAGCAAAGTCAGCCACAAGCCTTAGAAGCCAGGAGGTGGTGGTACACCTTTAATCCTAGGACTCAGTATTAAGAGATAGACAGATCTGTGAGTCCAAGGTCACCAAGATCTATAGAAGAGTGGATCAGTTTAAAAGAGAATTATAGCTCACACCTTTAATCCCAACATTAGAGAAATATATAAGACAGAAGCAAGGTCTCAGAGAGGCATTCATTCTCCAGACACACTGAAGATAGGAGCATTCATTCTCCAGTCATGCTGAGGAGATGTTACAGTCTGAGGCTTGGTGAGAGCTCATGGAGACAGGATCAGCCCTTTCAACCCAAGTTTGAGGTGAGAGCTAGTGACCAGTTGTTTTGTTTTTCTGATATTCAGCTTGAAGTTTGAAACCCAATATCAGCCTCTGGGTCATTTATTGTTTCATGTTACAGGTCAGAGGTCAGGAATCCCTCCTTTTACAATATGAGTCCTGGTGATCAAATTTAGGACTCAGGTGGGTAGACTTGGTGGCAAGCATTTTTTTTTTTTTTTTACCTAGTGAGCCATCTCCCCAGTCCCAGAAGACCTTTTCTTTTTTTCGAGACAGCAGTTCTGTGTGTAGCTCTGGAATCTGTCCTGAAACTAGCTGTGTAGACCAGGCTGGCCTTGAACTCACAGAGATCTGCCTGCCTCGGCCTCCCAAGAGCTGGGATTAAAGGTGTGCCCTTCCACTGCCTAACAACCTTTTTTTAAGTGTGTGTGTGTCAGCATCTCACTATGTACCCCTGGTTGGCCTGTAACTTGCTATGTATATATAGACCAGGTTGGTCTTTCTCAGACTCATAGAGAACTCAATGTTTCTGCCTCCCAAGTGCTGGGATTGAAAGCAAGAACCATCATGCCCAGCCAAAAGACCATTTTTATCAACAGTCTTAAAGGAAAATTATTACAGGCTTTTCATAGCATTCTCTTGCCAGGTTCTGTGCTAAGTACTTTCAAGTGGAGTACTGTCCATTTCTGCCCTAAAAAACAGGTGCTCTCACTCTGCTTCTCACACAGGGGGAAACAAGCAGAGAGTATTGCCACGTAAGGCAACAGCACTTCTGTGATTTGAATTTGGGCCTGCCTGACTTAATTCTTCCATGCTTCACTCTCTTGTCCATGTTTTGAACCAAGAAGATGGGCAGCCAGAGGCGCTTCTATTAAAGGGAAACATTCCAGTTACCACACATGCCCAGACACCGTGCTTTCCCTCACTTGCAACAATTGCAGTCCTGAGAATGCTGGAGTCACAAAGACTACAGTGGAGCTTTAGGATCTTACCCGGGTTAGTTTCCCATGGCATCTACCCAATGCTCAACACCTGTTTCCAGGTTCCCCACAAAACCCAATAGTTTTTCTGTTATTGAAAGGCACCTGATCCAGTAAAAACCAATTTTGGGAGTGGAGGTACTGGGGAAGAGAACCAGGGCCTTGCTCTAGCAACGACCTACACTCCAGACGCTAAAATATTTTGTTTTGTTTTGAGACAAGGTCTCACTGTGTAGCCTTGTCTGGACTGGAACTTATATTGTAGACCAGACTGGCCTTTAACCCCAGATCTTCTGCCTCTGCTGGGATCAAAGGCATATATCACCACACCCAGCCCCTAAGATAATTTTGTTAATTATCATTTTTGCTAATATTTTATCATCATTTAGCGCCATTGTCTCCTTTAGTGATCAGCTCTCACTTTAGCCCTGTAGCTATTAATCATTCACAGGGGTAAAGCATACCACATGTCTCAAAAGGGAACACCTTTCTAGTTTCTGTTTCTTCATTCCAGGCAAGAACAATGCTCTCTTCTCAGAACTGCAGCATTCCTTGCTGCTCACCCTGCTCAGAAAGGGCCACATCATAGGTATGGTGTGGTGGTTACAAAGGATGAAGTTAGTCTGCCTACATGGTCCATGTGATAGGGCACCCTTCATTTTATAGCAATGGATATTTCTGTTACTACTGTTATTTGTATTTTTTAAAAAAGGATTTTATTTTTTATATACGTGTACATGTGTGTACAGACACAAGAGGGCAGGTGTTCAGAAACCAGAAGAGGACACAGGCTCTACTGGAGCTGGAGTTACAGGTGGTTGAAAGCCACCTGATGTATATGCTAGGAACTGAACTCTAGACCTCTGGAAGAGTAGTACACAACACACACTCTTGTTGAGCTATCTTTCCAGCTTGTTTTTTTTTTTTTTTGGAAACAAAGTTTCTCATAATTTACACTGTAGACCAAGCTAGCCTTGAACCCAGAGATATGCCTGCCTCTGCCTCCTAAGTGCTGAATGCTGGGATTAAAGACATGTGCTACCATGCCTGGCTTCTTGTTTGTATTTTTGAGTGTCTGGGACTTCCTATATAACCTAGGCAGACCTAGAATATAAGGCAATCCTCAAGCCTCAATCTTCTAGGTGCTAGAATTACAGACATGTGCCATCATGTGTAGTATACCTTGAATAGTTTTAAATACTTAAATTTTTTATAACAACATCCTATATATCCTTCTGCCTGGACTAAGCTTAGCTCATTTTTCCCTAGGTGCAGAACACTGAGTAGAAACACTGAATAACTAACTACCCTCAGTTACTCCACCTTCCAAGTGACAAACCTCACCCTTAATACTTACTTTCTCTGCAGTCCGGTTCCAGACAGTCACTGTGTGACCCATTTTTAGCAAGTTGGAGACGATGCCACTTCCCATTAAGCCAAGGCCCAAAAATCCTATCCTGAAAGAGACAAAGACTGATTGGTGCAGACAAAGGCATGTCCATCCTGCAGCACAATTAACAATTCTTTTATGACAGTAGGCATCAAATCCAGGGGGGGGGGGGGGGGGTTCATGATATACAGCCTTGGTCCAGCAACTGTACCTCTTTCTTTTTCTTCTGGATGGTCAGTAAGGGTCCCTAAAAGCATATGGCCATGTCTAAATCTTTGACCACCAGAGACCAAAGCATGACTTCCATGGCCTATGGCAAGTCTTCCAATTGCAGGCCCCCCTTGCTTCTGACAGCATCCGAGTTTCTAATTCTACTCCATTGACAAAGCACAGAGTTGTCTTCAGTTCCTGAACAGCTTCCTGATCAGCAACCCCTTGCACTAGGCCTAAATCCACACAGTGTGTCCCAAATCCACAAACCAGTCAGTGTTGATAGCCAGGCAACCTCCACAATGCAGGAGGTACTAATAGTATGCACCATCTCTCCCTGACATCTGTTCTCCCAGGCTCTCACTCTTGACCTCTCTACCTACATCCTCCAAAGCATTGCTACCAACAACGCTTTCTTGATCTATCACACTCTCTGTGACTAAAGTGCATATGGCAAATTTTGCCTACCTTTAAGTTCCTCTACTTACTCCTTCCCGCTACAGAGAACTGAGTGGGACTGCTTGTTACTACTACTATCTTTATGTACGTGTACAGAGATCTTCATCTTGTCTAAATGTCTTTTCTGGTTCTTGTACTTGTGAGTATGTAAAAGTCAGAAGATAACCTTGAGTGTCATTCCTCAGACACAAGCAACTTTTTGGGGGGCCAGGTTCTCATTGGCCTGAAACTTGCTAAGCAGGCAAAGCTTGCTGGCCAGTGAGCCCCAGTGACCTACCTGTTTGTCTCCTTAGCACTAAGATTGGAGGTATGTACCACCATGTCTGGCTTTTTCATGTGGGTACTGGGGACAGAATTTAGGTCCTGGATTATGTGGCAGGAGGTTTACCAACTGAGCCATCTCCCCAGACTTTTTTTTTTTTTTTTAATTTTTAATCGAGACAGGGTCTCACTTGGTAGCTCAGTCTGGCCAGATATGTTGCTCAGTAACCTCAATTTAGAGCAATATCCCTGTGTAAGCCTCCTGAGTGCTGGAATCCAGGATTAACCACTATACCCAGCTGATTTTTATATACCTTTATTTCTTCTTGCCTGGTACTATAGTTAAATGCCTTCCTTTTTTCAGAAATTTCACTATTTTCTTCTTTTCAATTTGCTTTTTTTCTTAGCTCTCAACATTCTCCCCTACAAAGGCTCTATGAAGCCTCCCCATACTTTTTTATTTTTCTGGAATCTCGCTATCAGGCACAACTAGAAAATGACTACTTGGAGGCTTCCCTTACTCTAGCAGGAATACCAGTATTCACCCCTCCGTCCCAGAACATACATTATGTCAATCAAAGCCACCACCTTTCTCAACAAAACAAGGATCTCTGACCACCAGGTTCTATGCTGAGACTTTTGCCATTCATAGCTCTCTTGTGTAGTACAATTTCCCCCATGCAGCCTATTAAGACAGGGGAATTTTCTTTCCTTTTGTAATTCAGAAAACTCAAAAAATCTATGAACAAAGGATTTCCAACATAACAAGTAACAGTCCAACAGTCTGTCAGTGTGGATTAATGTGTATCAGTTGCTTTGTGTGACTGACTCCAAACTCATATTAAGAAAGAGATGCCTTGCCAGGAGGTGGTGGTGCATGCCTTTAGTTCTAGCACTTGGGAGGCAGAGGCAGGTGGATCTCTGTGAGTTTGAGGTTAGTCTGGTCTACAGAGTGAGTGCCAGGACAGCCAGGGATACAGAGAAACCCTGTCTTGAAAAATAGAAAAACAAAACAACTAGAAAGAGAGTTGTCTTCAGAGGCAGTCAAGGTCTTGGGTGAGAATAGGAGGACTCAAGTTATTAGCCCTGTGCTGGTCTTGTTTTTGAAATGAATACAATCCTTACTAAAGAACACCTACCTACCTTCTATGCCTGACCCTCACCTTTTAGTTTTGAGACATGGTTGTGCTAAGCAGCCCATGTTGGCCTAGAACTCCTGATCCTTCTCTGCCCCAAGCCTCCCAAGTGTGAGGTTGCAAGTGTGCATCACCACCTTTGGGCTCTGTCTCCCCAACCTTTGATTAGTTTCTAACAAGCTTGTATCTTCTGCACACTGCAGAGGGGAGTTCAAGAAGAACCTGTATAACTAGGGATTTCAATAGTTTGAACTGCCAAAAGATATACCTAGATTAGTCTGTGAGAGAACTATGTGGAAGGTACAAATTCATACTTGTTATATCACTCACAACACACTTCCTTAGTAATGAAACCATTTCCACCAAATGACTGTAGGCTCACAGGCTCAGTTAAAGCAGCAATGAAGACAAGTCTCTGGAAGGTTTGGGGCCCATTGTGCTGGCAAGGTGGGAAGCAGCTGGCAGGGGCATGGGAAGGACTGGGAGGTGACACAGGGAGAAATGAGTAAATCGAGACAAAGGGCTTTAGTACAAAAACCTGCATGCCTCTCACCATGGCTAATTTTGGAGCAAAGCAAATTTATATTCTGAGCCAAATTTCCAAGAGTGGCTCCAGACTAGCAGTGGCAGTAAGGGCAGTTTTGCTACTTGCAAGGAAATGAGTTTCTTTTTCCTTTTTTTGAGACAGGGTCTCTCTGTGTAGTTCTGGCTGCCCTGGAACTCGCTCCTTGTAGAAGAGGCTAGCCCTGAACACACAGAGATCTGCCTGCCTTTGCCTCCCAAGTACTGGGATTAAAGGCGTGTGCCACCACCACCCAGGTGGAAATGAATTCTTGGGCTGCACCCTAGACATACTCTATCAATTGAGAAGCCCTAACCAGGATGGGGGCCTGAGATAGTGCTTTTCAAGACATCTTTTGGAAGGCTCAGAGAACTTCTTAAGTAGCTCAGACTCACTGACAATTAGGAACCCAAGACCTGAGCCTATTCCCAAGGGAGGAACCCATGGGAGGTGGGGTTGGGAATAACAACTTCCTCTGATAAGTGAAACTGTTGTAAAATTATTATCAGGCTTGGACACAGCCCTTCAGGGTTCCCTTGATGCCACTTCCCCAGCTCTCACAGAACCCAGAGCCTCCAGGAGGCCTCATCATCCAAGGTCTTACTTTTTGTCTGTGGGTGTGATGCTGCCATTCACGGCTGTGCTGTCTGCTGCCTGGATAGAGGTGGAACCAGTTTCCTAGGGATAGGGAGCATAATAATCATCTAGCAGTCTGACCACAGTGAAACCACAGGTGAAATAAAAATTCAAAGGCAGGGAGCCTACATACCTCTTCACATATTTTCAACTTCTTTGTGATCGCCTGGTAACAGACAGCTGGCTAATAAAGAGGGAGAAAACAGATAACTTATTAAGTGCAATAGTTCTACATGGTAATTTCCCTAAATGGTTAGGCCTAAAGAGAGACAATGACACAGGGTATTTATTTGTCGTATAATTTTAACAAATTCAGGGGACAACACTCATTACCTCAATACTCCACATAGTTCTTTGAAGGTCTGTCTAACCTTCAGGTGTCAACTTATGTGCCTCACTATGGAGCTGGTCAGTAAAAGCTGGGCTGGAAATCAAATCTGCCCACCTCCAAAGCCATTCATTGTTATAGGATCTTTGCAAAGTTTGGCCCAACCCCCAGCATCACAAACTTTAGTAAAGTTTCCTGCTATAGCCACAGGTCTGGGAAGTTATTCTGACCACAGAGCCACAGGATGTAGCACCATGCAGCATGGAGACAGCCTTCATGTCTAGCTCCTCCTGCCTGAGACTCTGAAGGCAACTGCTGATATCTTGGCAATGTTAAGTGGCTGAGTTTTAAAAGCTTTTTAATTTCACTGGCACCTAATTTTCTCATGGGCCTACACTGTCACTTAGCTTGTTGCTATGGCATTCATAAACAAGTGAGGACTCACCTTCTCTGTTTGGCTCAGCAGAAAATGATGGAAATGAGGATCTGCATCTTTGACTGGCTGAAAGCAGAAGACAAGGAAATCAAATGAGCTGCCCTCTACGAAAGTTATTTCCTCTTGTGTAGAAAAGGACACCCTCCTGCTGCATGGTTTCTTCAACAGTCTCCTTCAAAGCTGTTGGCAAACCTCTACTCTTTCACTAATTAATTAATTAATGTTTTTCAAGACATGGTTTCTCTGTGCAGATTTATTTGTTTATTTATGTTTTTTCAAGACATGGTTTCTCTGTGTAGCTTTATAGATCAGGCTGGCCTCAAACTCAGGAGATCCACCTGCCTATACCTCTGCCTCTTTATTGGTATTAAAGGTGTGAGCCATTCCCTTACCCCAGCCATCTCTTTTTATTTCCTGTACTAATGATTGAATCCAGGGGCCTTGTACATGCCAGGCAAGTGTTCTACCTCCAAGCCCTCTTGTCACAGTTTTTTTTTTTTTAAAAAACACTCTCACTTAGATTCACCCATGCCTTCAGAATGCTGTCTCTTCACTTTTTGTTTTGAGATAGTATCTAAGTTACTCAGGCTGGCACTTCAATTCTCTTGGTTACTCAGGCAGGCTATGAACCTGTGATCCTCCTGTTTTAGCCTCTGTTAGATTTGCCTTTCACAAACAACTGCCATTCTAGTTAAGAGAAAATGGGCTCAAGTACAAAAAAGGCAGATGTTTCTGCAGGTTAAGATCTATCCCTCTAGTAACCTCTGTGGAAAAATATTACAAAACTCTGCTGTATTCTAGTACTAAGCATTCACTAGGCATGCAGTTGTTCTGGCTACATATGCCACAGCAATTCCAGGACTTCTAGGATCAATTCTGATTACATTGGTCAGGACCATAGATATCCCAACTGTTCACAACTATGCCTGTACAAGGTGGAGGCACAGTGAAGCCAGTATGACTCCGGCTACTAAACATCAGGAACTGCATTAGCCGAGTTCGGTGGCCATGTTTCTGTAACCTTAGTACCTTACCTGGTATCTAGTGTGAGGCTGGCATGGACTACCTAGGGAGACCCTGTCACAAAATAACTTCTACCTCAACCCTCCCCAGAAAAACTACCTCCTCATAGGTGGTAGTGGTGGGGTAACTGAGGGAAAAAAAAGTATTTATATTTATGGATGAGAGGGTATTTACATTAAATACAAGAGCAATCCTAGCCTAAACAATAAGAATGATAATCCCACATATGATGTTGAACAGGCGAACTTCCTGGAACCTCAAACCTAAAACATTGAGTACCCCTTGGATAGACTTCCGTACTGCTTTCTAATAAAACAAAACCAAACAACCAGAAAAGGGGGAAAAGGGAAAGAGGGCCACATAGCAAAGTCAGAAAATCTGCTGTGTGCTTGTTCTGACATTGTGGCCAGTCCTACCTCGCTTGCAGTTGGCTGCCATTTAAATGCAGCCATTGGTCCGGCCATCATCCCCTTTACAGTGCTAGACTCCGGGATGGTGAGGTCCTACAGGAGAAAACCAGAGAGAGCATTAGGACACTTTGTTTCCCTTTTAGCTACTCATCCCTGAACTAAACTGGCAAGTGCCTTGGTCTAAATGTAAGTTCAACCCAATTCCCTTGGCAAAGCTCTAAGTGGGAGAAGAAAGGCAACTGCTTCCTGTCAACACAGTGAGCCTTCTTCAGTCCTGTTATCACAAAACCCACACATGCACTTGTGTCACAAGAATGAAGGTTAATTATGAAGCTACCCGAAAGTTTCAAGGACATTCTTTATGGAGAGTAAAATCACTAAGAAAATAGTGGCTTTGGAGGGAATTTACCTTGTCTTAAAAAAACAAAAACAACCGCCTGGTACTGCTGAGGAGACCTGCCCAGAATTGGAAGTGATGACGAATGCAAGAATACATTTGGGGTGGTCTCAAATGAGCAGCTCTTTGTGTGCATGGCCTGTGCCCCATTCCCTTGGACAAAGTTGGTCTGGCCCCTCCTAGCACTATGATAACACCTCAGCCCTCACCCCCCTTGGTAGGACACCAGGGTGAATGTCCATGTGTCCACAGTATTTCACAGTTAACCGAGTTTCCTTCTCACCCGTCCCACAGCTGCTTGCCCCAGTTCTACTTTCCTGGAGCCAGGCCTCTTCCTCTACTACTTTGACTCCCCCTTTACTCAAAGGGCAGTGACCACTGCTTTGCCACTATAAAGTCACCCATCCCCCTTGTCACTCACACTACACTGGCTGTAATACCATCATCACTGTCAGCAAGCAGCTGAAAACTGAATCTCCTGCTCCATTCTGGCCCCATGCAACTTAGTCTCCACACACCAGCCCAGTCAGACCTTACCGAATCTGCACAAAACCAGCTCCCCACTTCTCACAACGAAGCTACAGTTTGCTATGGCAGCCTTTATGGAGGGCATTAAGTCAGTCAGCCACCTTACTCCACTCTCATATCTGTCCCGACTTGTCCTAATTCTTTTCTTTTTTCCCTTTTTTTTGGGGGGGTTGCTTTTTGAGTCAGGGTTTCTCTGTTAATAGCCTTGGCTGTTCTGGAAACTCACTCTGTAGACCAGGCTGGGCCCAAACTCACAGAGATCTGCCTGCCTCTGCCTTCCGAGAACTGGGGTTAAAGGCGTGGCACCACTGCCTGGCCTGAATCCTAATTCTTTCTCTTCCCATGCCATTCTCTAGTTTACCAGCACTGTATTCCCCAATCCCAAACAGGAACTGGCCTCAGAACTTCTGTATTATTGGTGATGGCTTTCCATCATGTCTACCTGACTCACAGGCTTACTTTAGGGCACCATGGAACGGTCCCCTCATCAAAGAAGCTTTATTTGACCTCTCTGTACCTCCTCCCATTTGAAGGAGATGTTGATTATAATGACAGCAAAGGTTTCAAAAGTCATCTTAGTGCTAATTTACATATATGGTCTCCATTACTCACAACGGAGAACTAATACTGTCTTCTTTTTACAGAAAAGAAAATTGAGCTGCAGAAAGATCAAGTAGCATTGGTCAATCGTGAGACAGATTAAAAAATTCAAACTCCCAGGAATGGTGGCACATACCTTTCATCCCAGCCCCCAAGGAGGAAGACACAGGTATATCTCTGAGTTTGAGGCCTGCATAGTTCCAGGCCTCAAAATATACACACCCACCAAATACAAACAAACAAACAACCCAACCAAACCAAAAAAACCAAACAGAACAATTCAAATTCCAGCACTTTGGACCTGGGGTTGGTGTTATTACAACTGTGTTCTCCTTCCACTCGACTCCACACTTGCTGGCATGTAGATGAAACTGAACATGTATTAGAGAAGTGGGTATCTCTCTTCGTGAGGGGGCCATATCTGCACAGCTCTTAAGCTTCCTCTCTAGATTCGTGGCCTGTGGTGAGGCTGCCAAACAAGCATCCGTGTAATAGAGAGGCTAGTGTAGTGCTGCCTCAAAGACACTCTGCAGTGCAGATACAATCTCTATCTGAGCTAACATAGAAGACACTCTGCAGTGCAGATACAATCTATCTGAGCTAACATAGAAGACACTCTGCAGTGCAGATACAATCTATCTGAGCTAACATAGAAGACACTCTGCAGTGCAGATACAATCTATCTGAGCTAACATAGAAGACACTCTGCAGTGCAGATACAATCTCTATCTGAGCTAACATAGAAGACACTCTGCAGTGCAGATACAATCTATCTGAGCTAACATAGAAGACACTCTGCAGTGCAGATACAATCTATCTGAGCTAACATAGAAGACACTCTGCAGTGCAGATACAATCTATCTGAGCTAACATAGAAGACACTCTGCAGTGCAGATACAATCTATCTGAGCTAACATAGAAGACACTCTGCAGTGCAGATACAATCTCTATCTGAGCTAACATAGAAGACACTGCAGTGCAGATACAATCTATCTGAGCTAACATAGAAGACACTCTGCAATGCAGATACAATCTCTATTCCAGCTAACATAGAAGACACTCTGCAGTGCAGATACAATCTCTATCTGAGCTAACATAGAAGACACTGCAGTGCAGATACAATCTATCTGAGCTAACATAGAAGACACTCTGCAGTGCAGATACAATCTATCTGAGCTAACATAGAAGACACTCTGCAGTGCAGATACAATCTCTATCTGAGCTAACATAGAAGACACTCTGCAGTGCAGATACAATCTCTATCTGAGCTAACATAGAAGACACTCTGCAGTGCAGATACAATCTATCTGAGCTAACATAGAAGACACTCTGCAGTGCAGATACAATCTATCTGAGCTAACATAGAAGACACTCTGCAGTGCAGATACAATCTATCTGAGCTAACATAGAAGACACTCTGCAGTGCAGATACAATCTATCTGAGCTAACATAGAAGACACTCTGCAATGCAGATACAATCTCTATTCCAGCTAACATAGAAGACACTCTGCAGTGCAGATACAATCTCTATCTGAGCTAACATAGAAGACACTCTGCAGTGCAGATACAATCTCTATCTGAGCTAACATAGAAGCCTCCAGTCATATTACTACACAGCACCTGACACAAGGCTGGTTGAGTTTTAAACTGTACTCAGTGAAGTTGGGCCAAACCTCTATCCCTGATTCACTCTTCTTGGTGTGTAAGTGAAATTTTAGGAGTACCACAGGCCTAACTGTACTTTTTCACCTGAGGCTGAAGCTGTAGTTCTTACAAGTAGGAAAGGAGAACCCACCCAAGACATGGGAGCAAGCACCCAGGCAAGATCTGAAACAGAAGAAGTCTAGACATAAATTCAAGTGCTCTTCTGAAGGCAAGCATTTGCTACCTCTGAGATCAAGGTTGGTCTTTTCGGTTATCTATTGGGGGCAGAAGATTACACCACAACAGAATGGTACGCACTTGGGACTCTACAGCCTGTGCTTTACTGCTTACTGCCAGTAAATGACAATTGCTATGGCAACACACCTGCACTCTGAGCTACAGGACAGATGAGGTCAGATGCACTGTCACTCCAGTACCTGGACACACTCCCAGTGCTTCACACTGAGAACAAGGCCAGCCCAGAACCACCCAGAAAGGGGAGACTGTTCCCCTAGACTGAAAACAGGTTAAAAGTTACTATCACCCAATGAGTTACCCTGTTGTAGGGGTGGGCTGCTTCTCATTATCAACTCAAAGAAAGCCTTGAGATAGGAGAAGCAAGCTTGGGTGGGCTCTTGGGAGGGCTAGACTGAAGTGACTTTCCACCTTAGTTTTCACCGCACACCTTGCTCTGAACCTGGGAACAGCACATACCGGGTTTGGATCTGATACCCATTGCTCTCCAGGTATAGTCCTCAACACTACCCGTGGACCCACTCAGTTCTCACAGTAAACCCATGAGGCTCCAGGATCAGGTGAGGAAACTGAGGGAAAGGAACTTGGCCACAGTCAATCAGTTGCAAGCCATAGGTTATAATCCAAACATAGATCCTTTGTCCTAACCTGTCTATTGTGTTTTGCTTCATCGAATAGGAAATGGTTTCTGTCCAGGATGATTCAGGAATCTATGAGGAGCTTGCCTGAAGAGGGTATTAATTTGGAAGACAGTATAAAACATGACGGCTCCAATTCCTTCTTGACCGAAAACTATATTACATCTTTTGGGGGCTTGTATCAGGTCATGCCCTATAAAGACCCCTATTCACCGGGGGTTGCAGTTTTCTGAAACTCTCTACCTCCTGAGCATGGTCATAGGGGGACTCTTGCTCTCTTCCTTCTGTTCTCTTAGCCTTAGGACAATGTGAAGGCCCTTCTCTAATCAGAGGTCCACAGAGGCAGGCCAGGCTGAGCCTAACCAAAGATACTTTCTTTTGGAACCCTGAAGTGTTTTAAAAATGTGAATCAGGGCCAGGTGTTGGTGGCGCATGCCTTTAATCCCAGCACTTGGGAGGCAGAGTCAGTGAGTTCAAGGCCAGCCCGGTCTACAGAGAGAGCTCCAGGACAGCCTCCAAAACAATACAGAGAAACCCTGTCTTGAAAACCAAAACAAACAAAAAAAAGTGCATCAGATTTAAACTTAGGGTGTTTCACATACAATTCTGTATTTCCAGCTCCTTCCTCTCATGGATACCAGACAATCTGGCAGTAGTTGGCCAGGTACCCTGTGGATGGAATGTAACTGGGCCAGTTCCAAGATGCAGTGAGCGTTCCTGCTCTTTTGCAAACTCAAGGCAGACTCATTTGCTCTGTGTTCACTGGTGTTGCTCTGGCATCTAGTGTTTCATCAAGGTTTTATCACCCACTGTTCGTCAGCCATCTGGCTTCTGCTCCTTTTATTCTAGTTGCATGTCTCCTAGTGTGCTCCTCACAACTCGCAGGGCACCTACTTCCTGAAATTCAAGACTTGTTAGACATAAGGTGAGAAATGCACCATTTCCTCCTGGTTTCATCTGGCCACACTTCCAACTTTACTACCCTAAACAAACATTCTCTTTACAGTTCAGCCTTTCTTTTGAGCACTCTCCTCATATCCCCCAGACAAGCTCATCTAATGTAGTGGATTAGGTTGTTCTTCATTCATGGCTTCCTAAGTCTACAGCTCTAGTACTGTTTGGGCCATGTTTCGAATGCATCACACTCAAAATACAACTGAAGGCTAGAATGTAGCTTAGGATAGAGTGCTTGCCTACCATGTGTGAGGCTTCAGACTCTACCCTTAGTTTCATAAACAATGACAACAGCAAACCCTTTGAATCCTTCCAAAAGCCACAAAGAACCAGTTCATTCTTCTGTTAGACAGCTCCACCTCCTGAGTCCTGATAATGTAAGAAATAACAGCACTATCTTTTAGGAGTGAAGCTTGGCTCCACTTTCTCTTCCCTTTTCATCTACACCCCTTCACATAACCAGCTGCCAAATCACAGAAGGGCTTCCTCTGACACGCCTCTTCCCATTCCTTTCAGGAAACGCTACCACCTCTTATGCATATACCAGTGACTTTGGCTTTCTTTTTGGCTTCAAGCCCCCTTTAGCGTCCTCACAATTACTAAGGACCAGTTTGGCATACAATGCCATCTCAACAACCAGCTTAAATAGCTTCCAGGGTGCTTCCACTATCCTGAATGATCCTCTGTGACCCTGTCAACCTACCTGAACCTCTGCTTGCCCTTCCTGTCAGGATACTCATGCTAGAATCATGGCTCACATGGGCCGCATGTTCACCGATAGTGTTTTCCCTCCCTTCTTGCTAGCCTTCCTCCTGGTCAGGTCTGTGCACCCAAGCAACTCAGGGGACTGCTCTCCTGCCTCCACCTCCTGCTCCTGCTTTGTGCATTCTGCTTTCACTTTATTTATACAACAGGGCAAGGACTCCAAACCCACTAGACGAGCAACATCACACTTGAGAGCATGGCTCTACTTTACACAAAAAAGGGACTAGTCGGGAAAGCTATAGTGGTAAGACAAACCTTCTCATCCTTTGGGGGCCGACCCCGCTTCCGGGGACTTTGCTCCTGGGCTCTTTTAAGGCATTTGGAGCCTCTCTCTGCAGAGCCTGAAGTCACCCTCTTCTTTCCTTCTCCCACGTTCTTCTTCACCTTCCCTTCAGACAGGCTAAGCTTGCGTTTCTCATCACCTGAGTTTGGCCTACTTCTCTCCTCACTGGAATTACGCCGATTCTTGTCATCAGCAGAAGTGTGGGATGATGTCTGAAAGTTCAACAATAATAATGATGACCACTACAACAGCCACTACCAACATTGGCCATGTAGTGCCCTCGGCATTTTTGTGAATTATCTCCATAGCCACCCTGAGAAACAGGATCCTTGCTCACCCATTTGGATTGGAAAAACAGCTTGTAAAAAGAAAATCATGTCTCTTGTCTACAGCCCCAAAGCTAGGATGTGGCTGTGTTCCTAAGCTCTTAGCTACACTCCAAAGCTGAGCTACTTCTAAAAGCAACATGTCTCAGAAAAAAGTGAGCCTCAGAAAGGTGAGCCACAGGCATAGAGCTCTGGGACCACAGTTGTTCTCTTGCTAGGCATCACATGGGAATGGAGTGAGTCTGTGACATATTTCTTCTGCTAGTAACCATGTAAAACCACTGGCCTGATGTTGGAGGGGAACTGCTGAAGTCTCTCTCACCTGGTCTTTCCCTTTGGCTCTCCTGAGGAACTCTTCAACAGCATCCACAGCTTGCTGGAACCGTTTGCCCTTGTTGATCTTTATCATTTCCTCTTTGTGAGCATGATAAGGCTTTAGCTGTTCCACTTTGATCCAGGCACTAGTAGAGAGCAAACACAGAAAGAGTTTTATCCATACTGCATTTGCCAACACATTTCTGAGATCTCACCAGGGTAGGATTTGAACATCCATTTGTTTTAGCTAGAAACTAAAAGGTATAAACCTCACAGTCATTTGTTCCAAACTCTTAAGCCTAAAGTAAATTTTCTTGAAACAAATAGAATTTTCCTTAAGTGAAATCACGGTTATATACTTTATTTTCACTCTCAATGGCCAGCTTTCCACATCCAACCACATACTGCCAGAGAGGCCGGTGGGCAGTCTGCTGTTGTCAGTGTGCAGCATGAAGGCCAAGGATACCCGCAAACATTATAAACCATGGCAATACTTTCACATAAGGAAACAACTGTTGCTGTTCAACTATTTTCTTTTTTTGAGATGTGCTCTCAATATATAGTTCTCTCTGTCCTGGAACTCACATGAAGACCGGCACTCCTCCTATCTTTGCCTCTTGAATACTGAAATTACATGTATGAACTACCTCAAGTGGCTTAGTCAACTATTTGAACCAGATATATAAAATTTGTTCAACAACCCAGAGCCTACAGTCGGGAATGTAACCAGGACTAATGAAATAATAATAATAATAATAATTATTATTATTATTTAAAGACAAAGACTCGTTGTTGGAGAGATGGTTCAGTAGTTCCAGAAGACCTTCGCTCAATTCCCAGCACCCAGGAGATCTGGACTGCACACACATGCTGCATAGACATACATGCAGGCAAAACATCCACCCACATTAAGGAAAAAACAAAAAAGACAAGGACTCATGATTCTTTTGCTTCCACCTCCCAAATGCTGGGATTACAGGTGGTGCTGGGGATTGAACTACTACCTATCAACTGAGAACTCTACCCCAAATGTAATATCTAACGTTTGCTGTTTTTAGGCAGTCACTAAGCTTACATTTGTTCTTAAATGATGGTATCCATGACTACTAAACCATACATACATGTGGTTCAGGATGAGGGCAGTAGTCACAAATGGAAGCTTTAGATGGCATTTTTCCTGAAATGTAAAATGAACTCCTCTAATTTTTTTTTTTTCTTGAGACAGGGTTTCTCTGTGTAGCTTTGTAGACGAGTCTGGCCTTGAACTCACAGAGATCTGCCTGCCTCTGCCTCCTGAGTGTTGGGATCTAAGGCATGTACCACCACCACCACCACCAATTGTTAATTTAGACTGTTAACATGTATCACATTAAAGTTAAAAAAAAAAAGCAGTCAGCTGCTACTTCTGGAGTATCTGGCCTGTCATTGAACTGAGCAAGTCTCCTGCAGTAGGCCTTCTGTGGTTTCCCTAAATGATGTTCCAGATTTGAGGTGCAAATGAGAACATATTTCAGGTATTAGTTGTACCTGTTAAAGTATAGATTAATTTATATGTTTTCCCCTGCAATACTCATAGGGTCTCATAGCATAACCTCCTGAAAGAGTGGACCAGGCTAAGGATATAGAGACTGGATTACATCAATAGCTGAAGTTTCTTTCCTTAAAGAGAGCCAGAGAATATTAATGCATAATGACCAAAGACCAAAGTGTTTTTTTATCCACCTCCATCTTCCTGCACTCTGAGTGTTGTATAAGCAGTTGTGAGGATGAGTCAAGAACAAATATGGTAGCCCTGAGACCTTAGCCCACAAGTTTGACACAGCACACTAGGGCAGGCATAGTATCTATATGACTAAGGCAAATAACACACAGGTATAGACACTAGTCTCTGGCACACAGGCTCAATCAACCACAGCAGTGGAGTGAGATGTTTTCCAGTGGCCAGCTCAGTTATAGTTTGCAACCTGACAAGAGAGCCATGAATCCAATCCACAGGGAAGAAACATGGACTAAAGTATTGACCCCTAACACTGGCCAGTATGCCTCTAGGGACCCCAACCCCTACCTACCTCTCACTGTATTTACAAAATTCCAAAGAGGTAAAGGCAGTAAAGCTGTAGTACTAACTGGTGGCTCATTTCTGAGACCACACCAGTGTCAGGGATGAAGCCTAAAGAGTCATGGTTCTCAAGACCCACAATGCCCATCCTTTACAGAGCCGTAAAACTAGATTAGATGCTCTAGAGGCAACAATCCCATTCATTCCTTTTTGTCACTGCCATGCCTACTTCCTCCCACCAACTTCTGATTCAGGGGTAAAGGTGAATGAAGACTTCTGTGGAAGAAAGGTCAATAAATCAGCCCCCTTTTTTTTGGGGGGGGGAGGTCAAAGTGTTTTAAAAGATTTCTGTAAGAATGAAGAATACACACAAAATTCCATTCACCTTCCTGATAGGACTTTGAAACTATAATGAAATTTTCCTCAGTACAATGATCTTTGAAATATTCAGATGAACTGACAATACAAATATGACTTTGAGGATAAAAGAGAAATGTTAATCTACTCAGGAAATCAAGCAAGAATCAGAGAGGCATCCTGCCTCACCAGAATACAGCCAATAAAATGCCAGCTCACTAGAGCCCAGAAGGATCACCTCTAGAAAGCAAACCACACTTGAGTCACTTCAACCATCCAAATAAAATGTGTTCTATAGTAGTCACATCACAAAGCCCCATCTGCTTAATGACATGGTGCTTTTTAGCTGGGTTCTCTGGAAGAGCAGTCAGCACATTCAACCACTGAACTATCTTGCCAGTCCATTGACTAGGTAACTCTTCAGCATTAAAAAAAAAAAAAGTACAACAAACAAACAAATTGGGAGAGGCGGGGTCTAGCTTGGTATTCAGTAGACCCTTGGTTTTTCACTGTTGACCAGGCTAGCTACAAATGCATAGAGATCTGACTGACTTTGCCTCTCAAATGCTGTAATTAAAGGTGTGTGCATCACCAGAGCTGGCCTTAGTTTAATTTAAATTTATTTATTTTTTTGAGATAGTATCTGTCTATGTAGCTCTGGCTTTTCTGGAACTCAGTCCTTAGACCAGGTCTTGAACTCAAGAGATCTGCCTGCCTCTGCATCCCAAGTGCTGGGACTAAAGGCATTCATTACCACACTAATTTTAATTTTTAGAGGTAAGGACCTCATGTAGCCCAGGTTGGCCTGAAACTCCATATGTTACTAAAGATGACCTTAAATCTTTGATCCTTTTATTTTTATTTCTCAAGTGCTAGGATTATGATTATAGGTGTGTATCACCATGTCTGATTAATGCAGTGATCAGGATCAAATCCATAGCATTATACAAGTTAAGCAAATACTATTGAGCTATAGTCCTAGATTTTTTTAATTTTTAAAAAGTTTATTATAGAAATGCAAATTTTACACATTTGAGTTAATTCTCAAAAAACAAACAAAAAACCCCAAATGAATACAACAACAAAGAGTATAGTGCTCTTGCTGAGGCCCCAAATTTAGCCAGGTGGTGGTGGCACATGCCTTTCATCATACCAGCCTGGTCTACAGAGTAAGTTCCAGGACAGCAAGGGCTACTTACTCCCTGTCTCGAAAAATCCTTGAGTTTCTTTATCACCATGCATAGTTTAACAGTTTATTTCGGAAAACAACTGTTTATGTGTGAAGGTCTAGAGGCTGTATCAAGTTCATCGTCCAGGATTCAGTATGGGACTCTGCCACAGCAAAGGGAAATTGAAAAGGGGTATTTTGGGAGTTGCCTGGTGGCAGGGAGGCTTGGAGCCTCCATCAGGTCAGTGATGTTAGTCTTTGTCTGTCAGTCATCTGATGTCTCAGTGACTTAGCTTGGAAGTCCTGGCCGCTGTTTCCACTCTTCCAGGTAGGTCTAGGGATTCTTGAGAGATCTCCCTCGTTAGTTTGTGGACCATGAAGGCACTTGGGAGGGGAGAGGAGCTGGCCTCGGGCTGCTCGCCTGGAGAAAGCTCAACATTATTTGATCTTCTCTCATTTCACCCTTTGAAGACATTTGATGCCCCCGGTGAAGAAAGGCCAACAGCAGCAGAGCCTCATGGAGAGCACGCAGCCCAGGAAGCCAGGTGACTGGAAGATGGAGGGCAAAAAGCACAAGCAGCCAGCCCAAGAGCCTGCTGGCCCCTGCACAGTTCTGCACAGCTGAGCAGGATGTGAAGGTGCTTGCCGGCCATTGCAGGCCATGCTAGAGATGAACTTTGAGTCATCCTGGCTGAGCAGTTGCCCCACGCACGGCTTCTTGCCTGCCGGCTACGAGTTCCAGTAGAGGAGATCAAGTAAGAAGGCGAGATCTTTGCATTGCTCATGCCCTACAATGAGGAGCCCTTCCAGGCACCGTCACTGTTTGACAACTGCATGCCCACTTCCTCCAAGTCTAGCCTCAGTCCTAGATCTTATAATGGCATTTTGAAGACTTCTTTTTTGGGGTGGTGGGGGAGTGCTAGGATGACACCAGGGCTTGCATATGCTAGTCATGTGCTCTACAGATAAGCAGGACATCCAGCTGCTCAGCAGGTGCTGCCCTAGACTTCCTGGCTTTGAGGCCTGTGTGAGTACATCTGACATGGCTGACAGCATGTTCCTTAGTGTCTTGTCATACTTCCTACAGACTCTTCAAACGGAAGACAGGACAGACCTTCGACTAAGCCATTCACAGGTTGCTCCACTTAAATAAAATTTTATTAGTTCTACTTAAATAACATTTTCCATACTTTGGAGCTGCTTTCTCAAGTGAAAAACCATATGACAACCTCACACATGTGTCTTTGCTAGTGCTTGGATATAAGAACCTGGGCTGGGGTTTTGAAATGGTGGCACACAACAATAGGACTGGATGGGGATGACATAAAAAGACACAGGAGCAGAAAGCCCATCAGACTATATGGCTTTCCTTCTCTATCTCGATGTGTGAGTAGTACTTAGACACTGAAGATGACATGTATCACCTCCAATTAAGCTGGAAATGAAGGCACCAGGAAACAGACACAAATATACTCACACAAAGCCAATATGGAAATGTCTGAGTTCATTTCAAGCAAAATTTACCTTAAAGACACCAACAAAGCCAAGTGTGGCTGAGCACT